CTTTTCCCAAATGTCTTTATTTTTAGTTTAAAATTCTTCTCTGTGTAATTTTTTTTGTTATGTGTTTTATCTTGAGATAATAATCATTTTTTTTTTAAATTATAGGGATGGTAAGGATTGCTTATATCCCCTTAAAAAATAATCGAACATAAACAAAAACAATTATACCACTTTAAAAATAAACACATTATGTAATATTCTTATTTTTGCTTTGAAGAGGAGAGGAAGAGTTTGAGGAGGTATTCAGCTAGTAGTTCTAGCTGAGCGAAATTGCATGGCGCATAAAGAAACAAACAATATTTCACTTATACTCAAAATAACTTAAAAATTAAATTTCGCATCCATAATATTCTTAAATAAGAATCTTTCTTAAACATTTCGCTAGAAATGTGCAAAATTTCTTTTATCAATTAGTTTTTACATTGCGAGAGTAAGAAGCCCGCTTAGCGATTTTTTTAAAAATAGCTTTGAGACAGGCGACTGTGGCAGCATTTTATAATTTTTATATAACTATTTATATCTTAACACATAGATACTAAATTAAATTACATGTATACATGTTTTTTTTTTCTTGGTAATTTTAAGAAACGCCGCCTAAATTATTTAGTATACAGAATTTCTTAGGTCATTAATTTTGAACGCAAAGATGACGATCATCTTCAACGAAATATGAAAAAGAAGGACGAGATTTTGGAAAATTATGATTTTAGGAAACAACAAGGGTGTGTATAGTGCGGAAGTGAGACGACTCCTTGATTTTGTTTCCTATTTGCAATGAGACATATTGTTGACAAAACACCTGGAAAGGAATTTTCATTCATTCAGACTATGATTATATCGAGTTTAAAGGGCAGGCTGCATCCTCTTAATTGAATAAATAAAGGAGGAAATTCTTAAAAATTGACAAAACATGTAGAGAAATATTTACTGTCCTTTTCATCCTCATATTAGAAACGCATTTTGTTTGAAATGTGAGAAAGTTCAAAGTTTCTTTTTATCGTTGAGTTGAACGACCCAAGAGACGATCACAGTATGGTCAAACAAAAAATAGCCATAAATAATATTTAGCCATAATAAAATTTTTGTGACGATTGCACAAAAACAGATGCGTATACGAAAAAAACAATCAGTTTTAAAAATGGAAAAGCTTAGCAACCCCTCTTAAAATCACTGACACATAATGCGAATGTTAAATAACCAACGATATTTCTTTTCCGCGTTATCAACAAAGAACAAAAAATTTATATATCAAGTAAGTGAGCAGTTATGAAGAGTAAAAGTTTAAATGTTGCATGATTAAAAATTTCTGAATGAAAATTCTTTTCTCACTAGGGTAGCAAAAATGAAAACAAAGTTACACAGATATGAAAATTTAAAAGCAAACAATTTATGTAAACAAATCATCCTGTATTTTTGTTTCAATGAGGTTTCATGATTAACGCAGGAGAGAGATCGATCCGGTTTGAATTTATCACCCTTTATTGGATATATTACTCTAACGTTTGAACAAAATAATATAAAAATCATAAAATATTTTATCAGTATTTTACAAGATACAGTTTTAAGAAAAATTATTGCACGCTTATATATACAAAAAAAAAAAAAAAAGATTTTAAATTTTTTTTAATGTGCATTTAAAAAACAAGTTTTTAAAAGAAATTTGGAATGACTGACTATTCGGATATAGAATTATCAATGATTGTTATGAAGTAGCGATAAATAGAGGACTTTATAACTGATAAGATTTTTTATTCGATTTACTCAAATTTTCCTTATTATTTATCAATGCAACTTCCGTTAAAGGTAGAATATTTTAAAAATGTATTAACAAAAGGATGTTACATTAAATATGTAATATTTTAACCAACAAAGTTTAATTCTTAATCATCTGATAACTATAAATATAATTTAAGTGCTAAGAGATTTATCTCAGTACAATCACTTTAAATTTCAATACTCCGGGAGGAACTTCGTCTCGTATAGTAATTTTGCATCCCCAAAAGATAAAGTAAATCTCAAATATTACCGCATTAAATGTGCTATTGGGTGATCAGTTATTATTTATTTCAAACTTATAGTGAGTATTTTTCGGTCAATTGCTCATTCATTAATTTGACTGCATGTGTTCAAAATTGGACCTAAAAATAGATTGTTATTTACAAAAAGAGAAAAATTCCATGCAATATGTGTTGCGCATTAAAAATTCTAAAATTTATTTACATGAGAATGCAGATAATCATGCCTTTTTTAGAGGTTATTATATCCATGCTAGTCTTGAAAAAGAGAATCTGAATAATACGAACACATTAGTCTTGATCTTATAGCCTGTTTGTTTCACACGCGTTTTAGTTAATTACAAGTTTTAATTTTGAAAACATATTATTTTATATTTCTGTTGGCATTGGCTAATCTATATTAAAACGAATATCTGAGCCGTCGTGGCTCAGGGGATTGAGCACTCGCTTCCCAATGAGACGACCCGGGTTCGAATCCCAACGATGGCTGGTCTGTACAAATTACGCACCCGACTCGCCTCACAGTCCTGACGTAAAATATCCTCAGTGGTGAATGGATCATGGGTTAGAGCCCTTTTGCCGCCAGACTAATCTTGACATAGTTTCGGGGTTCTCCTACGTTTAGCATGACGGTGAGGTGACTCTAAACACTGATTAGTCTACCACCGGGGATATTTTACGTCAGCAGTGTGGTCGGAGCTAGCCGGGTGTGGAATTCAAATCCATCGCTGGGATTCGAACCCGGTTCATCTCATTGAAAGGCGAGCGCTCTATCCTCTGAGCCACCACTGCTCGATACTCGAATTATGGCTCGATAAATATATTATAGAAGGGATTGGCATTAAAGTTCATGTTTTGTACAAAATAATTTTTGAAGGTGACCTGTAGCTAGAAAACAGCTAGTAATAATTTTTATCTATTAATATTTCATTCCTTTATAATTTATCAAACGATTTCTTAAAATAAGTATTGATATACGGGGCTGTTTAAGTATTATGCTAGCACCAATAAAGGTAAAGGGGATTTATGATTTGCTTATTGTGAGAGGGAAGCAGGGGAGCAATGCTTACGTAAAAGTCGAAAATCCTCTTATTTCCAAATTTCTCTTAGGATGAGACAAAAATTTAACAAGAAAAGTTGAAAAAAATTTTAAATTTGAAAGAAAAAAATTAAATTTGGAGAAATGAAAATAAAAAAAAATTCTTCAGGGAGTGTTATAAAATTTAATTGATTAAATTCGTAAATTTTGCTTTATGCAAAGTTACATCTCAAACTTAAATTTAACCCTAGAATTTTCATTGTTTGGCTACTGAAGTAGAAGTCAAAGCAAAAAAGAAGGGTGGGTGTTGTTGCGATTGCTGTTCGTAAGCAGGGGAAACATTTTGTAATTTCTTATATTTGCTGACAAGGCAAAGAGTCCAATAGAGCAAAAAACATGCTTACGTAATAATTGATTGCCCCTTAGAGAATGAACTAATGGAATAAATGAAGGATAAAAAGAGGCAAACCAATCAATGAGCGATTCGATAAATGGGGAATCAGTTTATAAATAATACATAAATGCATAGTAAGCATCGTGAAACCTGTCCAACTTGACCACGTGTGGGACAACAATATAAAGCTTCAGTCAGACTAGTGGTCAGTTGAATTTTTTTTCTTTCAATTTAGTGTTTGATTATAACAACCCACTTATACATGTGTTTTCGTAAGAAAGTTTCAGCAATCTATTAGCATTGGCTATGGGATAGAAGCAATTCGATTTTAGGGGTATATTCAAATAAAATAAATAATGGTAAAATGTAAATTTTTGGAAAACAGGGACAGATAAAATATTTAATTATTTCAATTTTAAGAGTCAAATTAATTTTGCCAAACATAATTTACGTTTTAATTGACTTTATAAAATTTTGGCAATGAATATTTTGTGTTTTCCTTCTGTGTTCAAAACTCTTTACCTCCAACACTCTTGGAAGAAAACTTCTTTCTCCATATTTAACCTCTTATTTCAAATGAAATATGAATAATTTACTAATTAAAATTTTTCCCCAAAAATTTTTGATACATTTTAAATGCATTTAAAAATTTTGTTATTAGGAATTCATATGGATTTAAAAAAGAATAATGTCTTGTGTAAGCTTGTCTTACCCCCTCCCCCTTCCTTGATAGCAAATCACCCTTCCTATCTGATGCATATGTAATATTTAAAGACTTAGGGGCATTTAAAAGAAAAGCAGCATTCTTTCGTAATGGAGGACCATTAAAAAAATAATTACTTTAAAAAACTTTAAGCACTAAATAAAAAAAAATACCTTTTCTTTTACTATAAAATTATTTTAATTATAACTGTATTGACATTAAAGAATAAAATAATTTTGGCGAAAAAATCCGCATCATTTATAGTTAACTAAACATCTAATAAGTTAAAAGAAATCAGCGAGATTAATACCGCGGACACTGCCTGAAGGAAGCACTTCTCCGGATTTCATAGCGTGAGCTACCGTCAAGTTGAAGAAAAAACAAATCTCACTCATAAAAAAACACATAACGCGAAGGAAGAAGGGGGAGATAGGCGACACACGTGCTCATCGTACGTTCTCTTCTCCCAAACAATGTTTCTCGCGCTTAAACCTGTAGAGCTTTCGCTCCACATCATTGGCCAATTTTAGCGCGAAATTAAGTGACGTAACTAGACATCATGCGAAACAGGTTACCAGATTTATTTCATTATTGCTTATTACAAAGATTTTTTTCCATTCATACGGTGCGTTTGAAATTAATTTTTAATTTACTTTTACGGTTGTCATTAGAGCGAAGGTTCAATTCGCAGTTTACTGATTTTTTAAAAAACTAAATTCTGAATGCAATGTTTTTTTCAAGCTTTAATAAGCCTTTTAAACCTAAATCTTGCGCACCATCTCTTTAACTTGGCGAGATTGTACTCCGAGAGCAACGGATTTTGGCGATATTCGATCTGGTAACCCAATGTTTTGGTTGCCGCGGGTGAAAAGTTCGCTGTTCTCTAGATTTCGGTATCAAAATTAGTTTTGCTCTCGAGCGAGTAGGTCATTCGAATTTGTGTTTCCTAAACGTTCTCCTAAAAGTTGGAAATTTTAATTGGTTTTTATCTTAATTACTGTATTTGAAGTATGTATATTTTTTATTTCTATTATTTAAAATTGCATATTTGAAATTTTCGTCCATTTTCATAACATATTTTTTTCTTCTTCTCTTTCTTTAAAAAAAAAAGTTTAAATATTTTTTAAAGCTAATAATAAAAGTAAATAATTTTAAATAAATTTTTATATTACCCTATTTGATTTAGAAATTAATTTTGTGTATCCTAAAAATTTGCTAAGGATAAAAAAAAAAGACAAAATCATCGAATTTTATTCGATAAACAAGTGGATGAAGGAGACATGTTACATCCTGACTCACGTTTGTTTGATCACGTGACTTAAATTTTTAGTCGCTTTTTTTCATTATTCCAAACTGTTAAGATTTTTCCTTTGTGTACATAATAGATCTGCATTGCTCTGTTGCAATAGTTGATTTAATTCTGCATTTTAATATTTTTCTACTAATTTTTTTACAATTTGAGTTGAAAAGGAATTTTTTAATTAAAAATCTAAGCAGATCTTGTGAAATCATGTTTACTTAAAGTTACGAGACCTTCGTATGCAATTTATAAAAATGCAAAGTGTTCTTAATTAAATTTCAGTTTTGTTGGTTATTTATTTATTGTTTTTATGAAGGAGAAAAAAAAATGCACAAATAAATAACATGATGATTTGATCTTTGTTTACATAAGTAAGTTATGAGGGCAAGCTTATGAATGTTTAACAAGTCGCATTCTCGTATTAAACTGATGTTTTTTGCTTTTTTATTTTTTAAATTTACAATAACAGCATATTACTCTAAATTAAAAAAATTATGTCAATTAAATCTTGTACTAATCTCTATTATTATTTTTTTATTTGTAAAGAAGTCTTAACTTTTGATTAAGTACGATTTTTGTTCTGCTTAAGTACAGATTAAGTAAAAGAACGTTGTCATTTTATGTTTCTTATTTTATTCAACGCTAAAAAAATGATTGAGGAAAAAAATAACAATCTTCGTTATCAGCATTAATCATATCGCAGGGATTGCGGTAGTTTTTGCTGCTTATTTTTTCTGGCATCTATTACATGCATATTTCTATGTTTTAAATCTTGTAATTTTCCTTTTTCTTTCATTATTTTATTCATTTATATTTTTTGAAGCTCTTATAGTGTTATTTGATTCTTGTTGATATATATCAGGTTGATTTAAGTAAATAAATTTTAATGCATGATTGACTTAAATGGGGTTTTCCCCCTTTTGGGAACTAACTATATATGTTCAAACATAATTATTTGTAGACTGTGTGTATATATATGCTATTTTCTATTGTAAATTTAAGAAGTTAATTGATAGATATGTGGGATTGAGGCATGAGATTCTTTAAATTCCATTTATTATTTTATTCTTTTTAATCAAGCTTAAAATTTTGTTAAACTGCCAATGTACTCACATAGTAGAAAAAAGAATAAAAACTTCCAAAGCATATAAATAAATTAAATGTTTTTTTTTTTAGTAATATTTTTCATTTCCTTTTTTCATACTCTGAATTTAAGTATTTTCAGACCTTGTGTTCTTTTCCCAATTTTATGCCCGTAAATTTATTCTCTAATCTTATCCTTAAAAAATTCTTTAAAACAATTATGTACTAGTTAAGAGTTGTGCTTAACTTCACCTTAGTTAAATTTTATAAGTTTTTACACTGGCAGGCTTATGATGAATAATTTTAGAATGTAGATTGTGAATATTCTTTTTATTTTCTTTTTACTTGTCATAAAGTAATTACATGTTTTAAAACAGTTAAAGTAATAATACATTTTAAAACTTTTCTAAGCTGCATTTCGTTTAAGTCATATCTTTGTACATCAGTAGTTCTTTTTCGTTTTGTTTCAATGTCAATTTAAACTGTCAGTTTTTTACCATATACCATTATCATACAACTTAAAATTTTTTAACATGATCATTACGACTGATAAAATTAACTTATTTGATGGTTATAGAAATAATCTTCTTAAATTTAAGATTGAATAAAACAGTTATTTTTTATTTTATCTGAGTATTTAATCTTCTTTTTTTTCTGTATCCAATTTCTTCTTGAAAATAATTGATTATTTTTTGGCTCTGTGTTATGAATGCCCAAATCATCATCGTCCGTGACAAATGGGACTGTTTAATGGTGTGGGGGTGACAGTCTCATCACTGTTTCCATTTTCTGGAACAAGATATATGACACTTAACCAATATGGAATACCTTTAGTTTGTTTCAGAACTTGATTAATAGATTTGTTTTGTTGTATTTTCTTTCTCCATAAGAACTAAGATTACCCATCATTCATTATCTTTCTCTACTGGTTCTATCAGATATTTGTGCTTTATTATTATTTTTTTTCTTTTCGATTTCATTGCATGATTCGATCTCTCGTTTTCATTCCTGCTTTGCCCTTACATTATATTTTATAATGTCAAGCAAGAGTTCTGTTTTAAATGAATTTTGTTTTAATTCTTAATACCTTTGTTTTAAAAAGAAATAACTGGTTTGTTATAATTCAAAACTCGATCTAGATTTTTTTTGTAAAAAGTCTAGTTTTTTTTTTTTTTTTTTTTTTTTTTTTTTTTTTTTTTTTTTTTTTTTTNTTTAGTACCGAAAAAACCCAAAATCCAGTGTTTCTGCCCATTTTCTATTTTTGTGAATGTACGAGAATATAGTACTGTTTTTTTTGAAAACACTCATGTGCAAAGAATAAAAAACTTGATTAAAATTATGAGTTAATGTTATACATTCTATTTTTCAAAGGGAGAATATTGTGCTCGAAAGGCATGGTAAACTAATCTTTGAAAATCTAGATTTCTGTTTCGTTCTATTGTGATATTTTTTTTATGTTTATTTACTTATTGTTAGCATGTTATCTGTATTCTGTCATTCAATTGAAAAAATAATGCTTCACTATTGGTTTTGAGAAAAACGGCTTGATAACTATTTTCTTTCCATTGCTTATATTATCAACGTTAAAAAGAATTTTAGAAAACTAATAAAAAAAAAATATTTTTGAAAAAAAAACTAACAATATTTTTAATATTATTTATGTGTAAAAATGCCAAATATATGGAGATTTTGAATAATTGTTGTTTTATTTAATTTTTTTGTTGCATAGGAATATTGGCGAACATCGCATTTAGTCTTATCGAATAGTTGTTGGGTCGCACTTAATTTTGCGTACGAAATTTAATCCTATTATAAATCTAAATTAATTCTGTTTTCACTGATTCTATTTTTAATCTTTTCTTAAATATTTGTATAGTTTCCATTTTTCTATATGTGGGAATATTTTTTCATGTGTATCTTTCACTGGCTTTCCCATTAAAAAACATAGTTCAATAGTTATCATTACATCATCCTACGCCGCGCACTTAATTCTCAAAAACAGAAAACGAATCCCTGAAAACCTTATTTAACTCTATTTTGACTGGTTCTGTTTTTTTCTTAATCCCTTCGTCTCTAGAACAGGAAATTCTGAATATTCTGCTGTAATATTTTTTTCTCTCTCATAACGATGCGTAGTTGAATATCCTTTAACGGAAGTTCTAGACCGGCATTCAATATTTTTCACCTTCTTTTCTGAATGATGTAATTCACTTCTTATCCCACAAATTATCGTCTGCTCTTTATTTTTCAGAATCAGACGATTCTTAGATTTTTTTATTCATTAATTTTTTTATAGTAACACTATTTTCCACTTCTGTTCTGGAGTTGAAAGCTTCAATCAGAGGAATTTGGAAATATTTTGGAATGAATTTATTAATAAGCTTATTTGAGAATGCATTTTATTTGAAGCAAACCATTTAAACTTTTTTCTTTATAATCTTAATTGCAAAAGTAAATTTTTTGACACCCAATTCTGTTTTTTTCTTCTTTTTATTATTTATTTATTATATTTTTTGTCATCTTTCAGTTTTGAGAAAGCAAGTTATTTTTGAGTTTGTATATTTTTTTCGAGTGAGATTTTTATGCAGTATATGTATAGTTTTTCGTGCAACAACTTTTTCCAAAGAGAGTCATTCATTCATAGATTTCCTCGGTCTTCGGCATAGGATGTCACTATGTTCTCCCAAAAATCTTTACCTCACTAATTCCTGGAAAATTGGATACCTGCAAGTGACGTCATTAATAGGTAAATTGTGGCATTTGTCGATTGATAAGCCAACCAGGCTCGACACACGCGTGTGAAGTTGCTTACGAGTATCCAATTAAATTCTGATTTAAATCACATGATTAGGCATAATCACTTCATTTCTTCTCGAGTTGCAAGTACCCAATTGTGTCTGACATATATNTTTTTTTTCACAATTGTCTACTTTCTCGAATGCGATGTAAACGCCACTAAAAATTAAGTTTAAAATAAAAATGAGCGTTCATTTAACAAATTTTAAATTAAAAAAGATAAAAATATCTGAAAAAGATAAATATAAATGTAAAGTTTTATTTGGGAACAGCGAAAGCTAACTCATGCAAAGAATATATTATGATACGGTAAAATGGGATTTTCCCCTCTCAAAATATATAATCTAGCAGCACCCCTATCGATTTTGCTTAAAAATATGTACAAAAAATAAATATATAAATACAAGTATTTGTTGTGTATGGTAGAAATGGAATTAAAAAAGGTTAATGTCTATTTTACACAGAGGTTTTAACGTATAAAATGATTTAAAAAATTAACGACGTAGAATTAATTTTGGTGACGTCACGAATTAAATTAAAACTTTTACTTCTCTAGAAGTATAGCAAAATGCAGTTTGCATTTTAACGATTTACGAATTTGCTCTTTAACGTAAGTCAAAAGGTTCGAGAAACGATCTAAAAAGAAAAAAAAGAAATTAAAATATATATATATGAGTAAACTCTGTTTAAATTTGTTATTTTTACCGATCTATTTTATGTTACATTTACGAACATTTTTATAACAGACTCTTTTCAATAATTTTCTGGCATTTTAAAAATTAAATCTGTAATACTACGTTTGTTTTAAAATATCAAGTTTGGCAAGCAA